AGCACAGAGGTCTGTGCTTTGCTGTCAGCAGCGCATGTGTCGCACCGCACGCACCTTTATCCGCACAGGAAGGCCCAGCCAGCGCTGCCRGGCTCCCCATCTAGCGCTATTAGGAAGAGAGAGATTGAAAACCCCATCTCTCAGATTGCTACTGCTTGCCGTCAAGTATAGATAACCCTCGTATCGATATACGCTGATGGGAGTGCTGATGAAACGTTAGAGGCAGCAAATAGAGATATGGGCACATATTAAAGCACACCTGCATCCAGCCTTTCAAGGCTCTGCCTTTGTCGGGGCTCCAGAGGCCGCCTCGCAGCTGAGCCGGCAGCAGCCAGGAGAGGCAGCGCTGGTTGCGATGGTTGATGTAGAAATCTGTCTGCAGAGAGTTTCCCGGAGCTTTCTTCTTTGCTGCTTGTGAACATGAGCTGACAGATGTGCACCAAGAGCGAGTTTTGGATCTAGAGTGATGACTGGTGACTCAATCAAGTAGTAAAAGTTGCTTCCCCATGAAATGAAATGTCCTTAGGCGTAACCAAACAAGTCCCTAAGTGTGAATACATCCGGTCTGAGAAGCAAAGACTAAAACAAACAAAATAAAAGAATTCAGCAACTGTTCCAATACCCAAGTGAACTCAGAAAATGCTTTGCAGAAATGCAGTAGGAGAGACTCAAAAAAAATCATGAGCAATGTACAGACAAATAATAATGGACTAGATGCATTTTACACTTTTTAACAGTGAGTTGTATAACTTGTGCCAGCTTGCAAGCATGCCTTGAGACTGAATTTGGACCTTTTTGAGCTGTCTGCACTATCTTACCCTCAAAAGACAGTCACCAAGAGAAGAAAGTCACAGATGAGTTTTTGCTGCTACCGGAGTCTTCAGTGACAACTGCTGAGAAAGCTAAGTTGAGGTCAAAGAAAAGATCAAATGAGAGCTTCAGTTCAAATTGAGATGTTATGCTAGTGATTGTAAGATATGGTCAATAGGACTCCATTTTATTTTATTTTTGCTTTTTTTTTTGCTGACTACGTAAAATACTACTGCATTTATCCCGCCAATGTTTAGGACACCAACTGACTCCACCTGCAAGAATGAATGAGAAGCCAAGCAAGATGTGGAACAGAATCATCATCAAAATCATTCTTTCTTCCTCAAACCGAAATATTTTAATAGTGTCTTTTTACTTTGTTTGTTTGCTTGTTGCATATTTTAAAGTGTTTCTGAGGAACAAATTTCCTTCTGACCTTTGTCGTCACTCCTCCCTCAAATCAGAGGTGATGTACCAGGACTAAGGAAAGGTGAAGACTGGTATCAACTTTGCAAAGCATCGTTTGCTTGTGTGACTTACTGCCTGGACTTGAAGGAGGGTTGGTCGCCATTGGTTTAGCTGGCCTGAGTGAAGCTCAAGATTGTAAAAACTGCGAATAAATGTTTTCTTCTTGTTTTATGACTTTTTCTGTCTTTTTCTGTCTAGGTCGATAGCTGTTGGAGAGACAGGACTTGTGGAGTTTAAATTCCTGGGTCTCTCCACACAGTGTAGGTTTTATTCAGGAGCAGTGTGCTGAGGTGAGCTAGATATAGTCTAGCTGAGAAACATCTCACACTCGGGTATTTTCCTTTCTTTTTTTCATCGGTTCCTTTGCCTCTTCACTTTTAATTAGGGGCGCATGCTGAAATAGTAATTCAAATTCTTCTCAGAAATCAAAAGAATTCCCACTGACAATATTATTAAGTTATAACTGCAGTGAAGAAAAATTTTAACAGGATTTTGAGCCAAATATCTATTCTCCATTAACTGAAAACTTGCCTGAACGTGTTTTTCCTTCATTTTGTTAGGTTACTATGGCATTAAACGAATCTGAGATGATAGGCACATGTACAAAGGGCCAATGCAAGGCCAAATAATCCTTGTCAAGACCATTTACTCAGACCTGTTGGAAGACAGGTCTTGCCTAGCCTGTACTCTAGATACAATTTAACAGACACGCAGGACTGCTCTTGGACCTTGTAAAGATGTGTATTTTAAACTGTAAGCAGAGTACATTTGTGTGGGGCTATTTGTGTGAGAAAGACACGTAGGAGGGGGTGGCACTTTGTTGCAAAGGAAACTTACTGAGTATGGGTGGGAAAAAATGATCAGGTTCCTGGACTGCCAAGTTCAGACAAAGCCTCCTGCTTCGTTCACGGAGAGCCACATGCATGCAGGATCATATGCAAAGCAGGCCTAATCTACCCAGTGCTTTGCATTTTCGATGTAATGAGAGGGGGGAAAAGAAACATTTTCCTCTGCAGTAGCTGTTAAGCGTGCCCATCAAGAAGACACTTATTAAAATGGTTTTGCATGTTAAAATGAGGCTTAAAGCACCTAAAGGTGTACAGAAAAACACAAATAGCTCCTCACACTGGGCACCTGCAGGGTGAGCCTCCCTGTGTCCCGGCACAGCTCGGCACTGCRTGCTAGACAGATACCCATCTGCTTCAAACCAGCCACACTTTATGCAGTTACAGAGCAAGGCAAGATCTTTGCCTCTGAGACCCGCTGGTGTTTCTTTTTTCCTTTTTTATTATTTTTTCTTTCTTTTAAGCTGTAACACGTTGCTTAAACTGTGGCATGCCTCAAAGACAGAACTTTCCCTCTTCCCAAGTTGCATACCRTGAAATCCTGCAGTCCGCTCTCGCATCTTGCTCAAGCATCTTTTTATGGCTTAAGCCTGCAACCTTTGCACACACACAAGTGCTCCCACAAACTTCCTGTTTTCTGTAATCCAGACCCAGCTCCTGGGTCCAGCTCAAGATAACCGCTGTGAAAAACCCTCGGGGCTGACTCCCCCCTGACCTTGACAGCGGAGGCGGCTGCTGCAGGCACCAGCCCCTGCTTGCCCTGGCAGCTGGGATCGAGGAGCACCCAGAAGACCATGCAGAAGGTGAAAGAGCTCCTTTTTGGGACACAGAGAGACAGACAGCATGTGGCATGGACARGGAGCACCGCACTGGCCATGGGGAATTACTTAAGCGGTCTGGTAGCCACCACAGTGGCTAGTAGCCACAACACCTCACAATGAGGTGGCCCTGGCAGGTAAGGAACAAACAGTTCCTCCATCTCCACTTGCAGACCTGGGCAGCTCTGGAGCCCCTCTCCAAAAGGGTCTCTTTCCTTGGTATTCCGCAAAATAAAAAGAACAGGAGTCCATCAGCAGCAGTGTAATGGTCCTGTGCTGACATGGCCCTCCAGGACCCTGGGCAAAACCTCTGACAGGTTCATTTATCAGTCCATCTACCACAGTTCAGCTGCAGGGACTCTCCCATGAAAGGCTACAAGTCTTTYACACTGCTGTCACTCTCACCACTGGTGTTTAGAGTTATTTGGACTGACCTTGAGTTATGATGAATTATTTCATTCAGAGAGCTCAAAGAACTCTCAAGAACATCAGTATGTCTTTTKCATAACTGCAGCAGCTTAAACTTCAGCAAAGGATGCATTTTCAAGCTAGTATTTTTTTTCTGGCACTTTGCATYATTTTCTTTTTAAGAAGACAATTGCTTTTACTGTCTTGGGCTTTGGTGTCACTGTAGATCATGGCTGGAGCCTACAGTGTGCTAAGCACCTACCATTTTGGGCTGTGCTCCTTCAACCCCTATAGCAATCACAGAGAATTGAGGCTGTTGAGGCTGCTTGTGCCATGCAAAATTCTATGCCTTACTTTTCTGAGTGTGCTGGTCAAAACACTTCTTGGCTTGATTATTGCTTATAACAACAGTGTCAAAACATTAAGGACAATCAGGAGACCATATRGGTTTAAGTAAAAAAGAACACACTTTATTTATCTACAAGGCAGTACATTGTCGTATAAAAAATTAAGTGCAGATGAAGCTGCACCAAATGCTATTAAGGCAGCAAAGTCAGAGGCTTTTTATTAAAAAAAATTAAAAAAAATAAAAAATAAAATCAGTGTTTTGCCATATTGATAAAGATTTGGTATGGCAGTACAAAGAACCATGTATTTCTAAGAACCTGATTCAGTACACAAGACCCAAGTTAGGGAACAACAAGCTAGACATGGAACAGAACAGACAACACGAACAAGACAGTGTTCTCCCAAACATATGAAGGTGCAATGCATGCTGTTACAAATCAATGGAAACAAAACAATACATYCACACACACACACACAAAAATCTCCCAGGAACAGTGTTCAAAAATATTGTTTATAAAAAAAAGGAAAAATTATAAATGATATAAAAAATTAAAATAAAAATGTCTGAAATGCTAGTGCATAGTCAAATTAGCTAACATCAACATTTGCTTTCTTTCCATATAAAGCCCTACTGCTCCTTTTACACTAGCAGCATGTCTACACGCTAAGGTCTGTAGCAGCAAAACACAGTATTCATTTGGCATTTACAAAATTAAATTACTGAATAAAAATATATTTTTTTTCTCATAAATCTATGTTTCATACAGTAATATTTTTTTAAAGCAAGCTAATTAAAAAATCCCCCCCCCAACAGAAACACACAATGCATAATGGTCTAGAACCATAACAGAACAAAGGAGTATTTCAAGCGGCATTCACGATCTTGATCAGTTTTCCCTCTTTGCACAGACTAGCGTTTGTAGTAATGCTTTTCACTTCAGTATTTTACACCAATGCATTTTGTTCAGTGATTCAAAATAAATCTGTTTGAGTACCTGCTCTTTTATTATAAAAAAAAAAATAAAAAAGAAACAAACAACCCCCTACCCCTGGATAGCACATCACTGAAATAACAATACTGGTGTATTAAGTCTGCTTGATCTTAAGAAGTACAAAAAAATTACCATTATTATAAGTCTGCATTTAAGATCATTAATAACTGATTAAAACTTTTAATACCTAATAATTTAGGCAAGTATCATTTATTCAAAAAAAAAAAATCCTCTTAAGTTGGGTGAAATCCAACGAGAATATATATGCTCAGTGACTAAATGCACTTGGTGCTGCTCCCAACTGTTGTACCACAACAAAGATAGGCTCTTCTCCCATTCATGAAAAGTCTTCATGCAGAGGAACAGTAATTTCCCAGGGAAGGTGAAGTGTTCTGAAATCCATAATGCTTCTCCGTAGACCCGTTTACATCACCAGAGTCCGGGTTGGGAACGCGGTCATGTACTTGCGTGCCTGATCAGTGAGGGCCATYTGATCCTCTATCTTTCCACAGGACGCAGACTCCCAAGTGTTGTTCAAGTGCTGAGTTAAAAACAGACAGAGAGATTTGGGGTGAAGATCACGGGATTTATTTCGCGCTTGTGAGCCTCTACGCTCCCATTTAGAGTGTTGCTTTTTTCCCAAGGCCGTATTTATAGCCTTGCCTTTAAACTTTCTTTTCCATGAAACAGCTAAGAAGAGAATTTATTTGCAGGTCGACTTTACAGTCAACAGGCCACAGACAGGTTCAAACCCTTGGTGCTACAACCACACACAAATGTGCTGAGCCTCCACTGCAGAAATATAGCTGCTCTGCCTCTGTGTCCCCTATACAGACCTGACAATCTTGGCGGCGTGACCACAGCTAACAGCAAGGCCCCCGCGTGAAGCTGCTTTCACCTGCGTGCACCGATTAGCACATGCCCATCAGCAGAGCTCCTTTGGCAAAGGAGAAGATGTGCCGGCGGGGAAAAACTCTCGGCAGCAACAACATTTTAATTATCATGCAAGCCATTTTGCTTCTTGTGGTATTTATGGAGGTTAGAGACACCATTTAGTATAATGTTAGAATGAGATAAACATATCTGCACCGAGGGCCGTGCACACTGTATTTATTTACTAGCTACACAAGCGAAATGTTTCTCATTGCCTTGAGCTATAAGCAGTATTGAAATTTCAAAGCTTCTGGAATTTAACAGTACACACACTTAGTACACATACTTTTGTGTTTTCTCTTGAACTCTTCCAATTACTCATTATGTCTGCTTTTCCACATCAAGTTTTTCACTGAACTCAGAATAAAAACTGTATTATTAGGGACAGCTAATAACATGAATAACCAGCATTCCAAAAAACACAACTGTGTTCAACTACAAGCTGTCTGCCAAGAAGGGGATCACCATACTCCTGAAGATTAGTAAGGTCTAAGCCCAAGATCCATCAGCAAACACAATTCAGGAGAAACTCATCTCTTTTCTTCCTCTGTTTTTGACAAATTGACAAGAAAAGAAAAGATCTGTATTACTTGSGTACTACTCAACCAGATGGCCAAAGTCTTCTCAGCATCTAAGACACTGGGTGAAACTAAGTGCTTGACTGTAAACTGTCTGCTAAGACATCTGTCCTGGTGTGGGCAGTCATTGGGCTACTTAGCCACGGCTCTTTCTGCTGCTTCTTCCATTTGCCAACTGTGTAAGAGGAACCTTATGTTATTCTTTAGCCTGAATATACAGAAAACATCATTGTTCTTATGGGAAGCAGTGGTAGCTGAGACACATGTAGTCTAAGAGGTTGGATGACATACTAAATAGAGAGAATTTTTCAAAATAACACCCTAGTCATGGTCGTGGTATGAATGTTTGCTGCCCTGGAGGTTTATAGTCTAAAGGAGACAGACACAATGAGCGTGTAAGCAAAGTGACCAAGACAAGAGCAAGCACACTGCTTTCTTTCCCGTACATACAAGCTCTAAATATCTCTCCTCTAGATGCCTTTTTGCAGATGAAACTCCTGCTGAGTTTTGAAAGAGCTCCCCGTGGGGAAGGAGGATGAGGTCACGCCTTGAATCAATGGGTTCTGCAGCTCTTTGTGGGACAGCAGCATCTTTGAAGTCAATAAACATTCTATAGATTTTCTTCTCACATATGTTCGACCTGTTGTGGCTGTACACCTTGTGTGGTGGCTCTGCCTCGGGTGTGCACGGGAGCCAAAGAGCAGGTGTGACACACTTTTCATGTGCCACAGACATGCATGAGATGTGCCACAGCTTCTTTCATGGTTTGGTTACACAGCTTCCAGGGTAACCTTCTCAAAGGCCCCTAGGTCAGCTGGAAGTCTACAATCCCCTGTTGATCCTCAGCTGGATGTAGGCACCTGTGAATATTTTACGCTATTATTTTAGAGGCACTTGCATCAGGGACCAAATTAATCTCTGGTCCAGTGCCATTGGTTTTACTTAGAAGTCAAGCTTAGTCTATAAAAACTTAGAAGCAGGTGGCAGCTCCAGAACATCCATCATTTCAAATGTGTCCAAAATTCCCTGTGATCTTCCAAAGCTTCAATACACTAGTCTTAGAAAAGCAGGTTCAACAGTACCCTAAAGAGCTRAAAACATTAAGCAAGCAAAAGCCATCTGTCACAGTATGTCATTTTTTTTTGAATGGACCTAAATTCAGGCAAAGATTGTCCCAATTTCATAAACTCATCTTAATTGTTAGTATCTACACTGGGGTCTTTGTATTAATCGCCATGTGTCTATAAAAAAGGAAAAAAAAAAAAACCTGTATCCTGGTATCTCCAACATCTCAGCAGGCTGCTACATGTCACTCACTCCACTTAGAGCCTGGTCTTCATTTAACCTGATGTCAGATCAGCAGAATCTCCCTCTGCCCTCTCTTTGGTGTCAGCTGTCTCCAGCGCCCCAGGGAAGCAGAGTGGAGYGGACAGAGGAACTACAGGAGAAGCAACTGCATCGGTAACAGGACTCTTTTGAAACCAACTCACTCAAGCTTTGCTGCAGAGACACTGTGGGAGAAGCTACTCAACAGAATTTTCACCCTTATATTTTTTCAAGACATACATTACACTCCCTCTTCTTTCTCCTATGATAGTTTATAAAACAAGACTAATTTTTCAGTCTCACTGAAGTTGATAGGAGTTTTGCTCTGGGAAAGAATATAGAATTGGGCCCAAAGCAGCAGTATCACTACTAATAAAGTTTCAAATTCGTCCTTGGGATCTCAGATAACATTTAYACTAGGCATTCTGAACAAATATTTTCCTTGTAAAGCCTTGGCTCTCAGCAGCGAGCCGTAACAAAGCACAATGCCTCAGCCGTGCCAGCCCCGCCGTGCAGCGCTAGAGGCACGTGTGAAAGGCATCCGAACTCCAGAAATTCTCCTTCCACTCTTGGCACGGAGCGCTGGCTCTCACGACCCAGGCTGAGCGCGTTTCCGGGTCTGAGCACACACGTCTAAGGAGTCACTGAGCAAAAAAAGGGAAGGTGAAATGCAGGCTGAGGTGCACAATGCCCCTTGCCCTGCCAGCCTCTCAGGGCTTGGCTACAGGAAARCGTCGGCACCCTGCGGAAAGTGGAGCTTACCAAGCACGCCCAAAAAGAAAAGGAACATGAAGAGAGTCAAGCAAAAAGCAGGAAAGCAGCTCAGGACCAAATACTGAAATGCTCCTTTTTGAGAATGCTTATTATATCCCCTATATTGTGGCCCTCATTTAAAGGTCCAATTCTGCAAGTCAGTGGTCGAAATGACAAAAGCMTTGTAGTTAGGAGTCAAAACTCGCTGGAATTGATGGGCATGTTTTCATTCATGCGCTGGATTCGTTCCACTTTTAACTGCAGCCATCTAGGCATGAGGTGCTCATTTTCCAAATCTCCAGTAAGTTTGGAAGAAAAGGGATCCCCATGGCACGATTCCCTCCTCGCAACAGACAAAAGGATTTAACTCTTAGTTTAACTTTTTAATTAAAAGAATTTAAAATTCTATTGTTGGAATTYCCATAGCTGTATTTTTTGCGCAGTTGTTTTCTGTCTAAATTAAAATTGAGGGTAGGTAAGGTAATAAGAGTTCCCATAGCATAAAACTCTAGAGCCGTGGTACAATTCCAGCTATGCCATTCCCCTGCTGCTTGTTAAATTATTATTTTTTTTCCACTAGTAATCCTACTAGCACATCCTTCTCCTGGCAACAAAACTACCTCACTTATCCTGTAACGTGCCTTCAATTGCCCTTGGGCAGATGTGAACTGTAAACAAACTGTCAAAGCTGTAACTGGGATATCCAGTTAAAGCACTTTCAATAAAAACTTGGGCCATCTAGAGAAAACAGACAAGAGTAAGGAAAGAAAAGACTGTGCAAAGGTGCTTTTCCAACAGAACTAGTCCTTCTGCCCTCGCATCATGGGCTGCCTTTTTCATGTGCTGTCTGCAGGGCTTAAGAAAGTTCCTGCATTACGACACCCAGCCTGTTAGCAGGGGATACGAAAACCAAACATTGCTGCAGCCTTAGTACAGAGCTCTCACCCAGATCCAAGGGCAGCAAAAATCCTTGTGCAAAGAACTCTTTTAGAAAATAGATCTCCAGCTCCTGAGGAGCAACTTTCATCTCAGCTCTGCTGACAGAAATCTTCTGCAGCTCCAGCAAAGCTATTGGTGTTACACACATTTGCATGCACTTAGATTAATTGTACCRACATTTAAAAATAAAATAGCCAAAAATTTTAAAATATTCAGGCTACTAAAAGGTATCTTACCCTGTTWCTCTACCCAAGAAGCAGCCCTTCATGCCAGTTTTCCCTTAGCATTGCATGGCATGGATAATTGCAGAACATTCCATTGAAAAGAAGGCTTAAGACAGAAATGCAATGCTCTTTTTTAAGCAGCAATGGGATCAATGCCATAAACAAAGCATTTTCCTAGCAGAAAAGATTATTAACAAACTCAAGCAACCAAAAACCATTTCTACTTTATCCGCTGAAACAGGGTACTGTTTCTGCTCACATCGCTAGTTCCCACCAGGGACATGGGGCAGCTTTTCCCTAAACTCTATGGTCTCTCCAGTTGTTCAGATATGCAGTTTGCTAAATGTGAGAGAATACGATGGCCTGACTTCTCAGCTTTTATATTAAGTCTGATACTAATGCTGGAATAAGGTATTTTGTGGCGCTTTTAAGAGCTTAACCCTGCAGCCCTGACTCAGACAAAACTTCTATTTGAGATGCATGAGCTTTCCAAGCAAGATTAMTGAGAGAGATACGGAAATGTACTGAGCACCTGCAACTCACACTAGGATATCGAGCACCTCTGTGAGTTTTGTCCGTGAGTTATTCTTCTACTCCGGGTCCAAACACACTGCTGTCAATGGCTCAGTGTCAAGCTGCCACTTTCCCTCAACTGCAGCCTCTGAAAGCCGAGAGACTTTTATCTACTCGGGGCAGCAACAACTTCTGATCTGTTTGCAACCCGAATTCTGCCGCTCGGGGAGGGAGGAGACTGACCTTAACTTCCCACCTCTTCCTGCTTCCCTCAAGCCTGCAGAGCCCAACACACGTCCAGCTCAGCACGGGGAGGGAACCAGTAGCTCTGGAGAGAAAAGCACTGGGCTGCCTTGCACAGCTGTGCAGGATTGCCCTGCGTCCCCCTGCACACTTGACCAAGGGAACAAGAACATGAGACTTTGTGATCTTCTTGTCCCCCAAAAAGCTGTGGAGGAAAAGCACAGAGGGGCTCCTCCCAAAGACGGCTGCCTTGCCCATGTGTTGTGTCTTGTGCAAGCTCAACTCCACGTTGTACTTTGTAAAGTGGAGAAAATTAAGCTTAATGTCAGCTCCCGGTCTTGAAAAAAAGTTTACTGGGTAGCAATTTCTTTTAAAATCCTTTAAACTTGCTCTTTAAAGAAAATGAAGATGCTTACACAAACCACTGAAAGTCAGGAAATTCGAGCTGAGATGTGTCAGTCTGTGGTTAAAAAATGGAAAGTGACAGGAGCTAGGGGTTTAAGAACACTCTCTTTAGCTTGCAGGGCTTTTACCTTATGTTATTTCCTTTGTTACCGGGAGAAGAAGATATCAAAGCAGTGCTATTTTCTTAAAAGGTTCCATTTCATGGTGTCTTTTGATAGCCTGCAGGGTTAGGTGGATGGGCTATGATCTTTTCTATCTAAAATGTACTTGTTAGAGTAGTTTGTTTTATATACTGTTCCTTATTTGATTGGCTACAGAATATAATATGAAATAAAGCATGACTTTTACACAGGAAAGACCAAAAGTATAGATTTTACTCAACCACCTCTTATCAGGAGCTATTCAACCACATGCTCAATGCAGATAATTGGTCTGGCTCAATAAGGGCTTCACACATTATCCCAAAATCTTAACCCTTCCAAGTTGCTGCCGAGGCCAAACTCACCCTGCCATGAAATCGGGTATTGTTTGAGTGACAACAATATAGGATCTTGGTTGTCACCAACTGCTGCGTYGTTGAGACTGCCAAATGGGGAAGATGGCTTGGCTGCCTCCCATCACTCAGGCTGTGCCTGCTGACGTGGGAGATGAACAACATGCAGCTGGCACAATCCCCATCCAGCCCTGCTCTGAAGCTYTGCTATGTGACACACTCTACCTCCTGAGTGATACTGATTCACACTGTGCTACCTGAGATGATCGTCAACTACCGTCTGCCAAGCTGCGTGAAGGTGTATCCAAAATGCAGTGAAAAAAACGATCCTTCGGTCCTTTGACGTTGCTCTAAATATTTGTTACTCTTGCCTACTTTGGAGGTGAACAGGCAAAAGGGCAAATCATCAGACACTGCCCTGCATTTAATGCCAGCCAAGTATCTTTTCCTTCAAGTAAACACGGTGGAAACTATTAAAGCAATGAAAAATACTGCAAGTTGATAATGTACTATTTCCCTTTTAGGTAAATTTAAATTTAAAAGAAAAAATAATTTTAGAAGCTTTGTACCTAGCATATTAAAAATAATAAAGTTTTGAGTTTGCGGTGGCAAACTCTTTCTCTTCCCTCTCCATGCACACATCCAAGGTGCAAATTTCTCTATAATCCTTACTTGGACTGAAGTCAGTGAAAATTTGCCTAGGTAAGAGCTACTGGATCAGGCCCAAAATAATAACAGCAGCAATGTAAACATATGCAGATACAATTAAATTTCACCCAGATGAGTTCCACACTGTTTCATTTCGGCCTGCTGGGATTCAGCAGCTATAACTGTGTTTGTGTGCACATGGAACAAAACAYACAACGTACATGCAGGCATAGGGTGATGGCACTCTAAAAACTGGTTAGAAAGGGAAAATCAAGAACAAATGGYAACATTTCCAATTTCTCCACACCCGTCAGACACAGCCTGTCCTAACAACACACATGTGCTCCCAGCGCAGGGACACACTCCTACCACCATGAAGCCAATCCATGCATTTACCCTACGTGCTTCTGGAGCAGCAGATGCCAAACACTCCTCTCAGTGAGCTCAAGCAGACTTACCAGGGGATGAAGCAGATTTACCCCTTGCACTAAGTCCAAATCAGACTGTGCACTGATCAGCACTCGGTACTGCACTGCTATAAAGCGCCTGCATTTCACCCTGAAGAAAGTAATCCATGCCCAAGCATAGACATCTCTAGTCTCATTCCTCATTTACAACTATATTTTATCTGGAGCATCCAACAGTTCTTGACCAGCAGGGAGGACCAGCAGTCTGAGTCCAAGGTGCTGCCTGCCAAATACTTTTTGAGGCTTTTTACTACTGCTGCTTCCTTCAGTCTAACAGGTTGTAAGTACTGAGACAAACTGCAAAGTCCTTTTTATTCATTTCCTACTTAAGGAAAAATCCTCTTTAGACCAACAATGGGAATAACTGACTTTCAACTTCAAGCAAAATTATAAAGGCTTTTCCTGACCCAAGGACTGAAGAATGGGCTCCAGAATGGCCCACAAATTGACTGTGTAAACTTCCTGACCAGAATCAGCACGAGTAGGGTGAGAAGGTTAAAGAAGTCCTTTCATTTATAGTGGCTTGTAAAATTATTTTTAGATAATAGGAAACCTAACATATTGTTATGCCAGAGATCAAACGATCCTATTTTATAGGTGCCTCAAACACTTCATTTCTATTACAAGCAGAATGCAGGCAACTGCCATTAGCAGGGCAATCCTCAGCATAATTCCAGTTAGCTGCCAGGAAATTCCTCCCTACCCCTATGGATGTGCTGGAATTCAGGCACTGGCCATGCTGATGGGGCCGCTGTGCCAAGCAGGCAGAGGGAGTAGGGAGATAGAGGGGAAAGCACGAATCTTCAAACCTTCCCCATGGATGTGCGCCACAACACAGCTAAAACACAGAGATTTGTGAGCCTGGGAAGAGCCAGAAGCAGCAGGGAGTGCGGATTTTTGGCCCAGACACTGCAGAGATTTTGATGCCAGACTTTCCAAAGCTGCATTTCAATCACATGATCTGGTGATGCAAAATATAAACCTACTCCTTTGCAAATTCTGTAACACATCTTCTGAAACTGTTTATTTTTAATGTCAGAATATTTTACTCATATTTCTAAGAAAAAACAGGTGAAGGAATTGAGGAATTCTTATAGTTACATTTCTAACACAGCTTTGCTACTGACATCACCAAATATTATTGGTGTTTGAAATGCAAAAACAGGGACAGGTGTAAAATTTCAATATATTGCTTTATGGTGCTAGACTAGGGATGCATAACCAAACACGGATTTTAAACACTTTGTTTTACTGCAAATAACCAATATTTCTCCTAATATAAATTCTGAAAAGAGGGAAGAGATAAAGGACTAGCTGAAAACTTGTTCAAAAGTCAGAAACTGTGGAGTTATTATTTCCTCTGTGACAGTGACTCACTGTAAAGAATGACCGTCTTCAACTCAAGTGGCCCATGTGGAGAAGGGATATAAAATTACTTACTCATGTGTCTCAAATATAAGGATTTCAGTGGAAACACAATTAATCACTATCTGTATTGCTATGGACCTGATCTGAAATCCACRTGAATTGAGGAAAAGGCTGCTAAAAACTTCATTACTTTACATTATTTCATTGGGCTATGGATCAGGCCCTATATAATAGTTATTTACTTGCTAAAATTGACAGCAAGCGTGTGTATTTGTGAACACCTAAGAAAAGCCTAAGTACCTAAAATACAACCTAATTGCTGGATTAAAACAACCACACATTTACTTCAGTTAAGAGATCCTGAGACATAAAGTTGGGCCTAAATGTTATGGAACCATTTCAGACAATAAATGACAAGAGTATTCCTGGCACRATGTTCTCCTGAGCTCCAGGGAAGATCAGCTTGGCTGTTTCCCTCCGCTGTAGGATTTGGTTTGACAGCTGCTGGCTGGTAGCACCAGCTACATCTGTGCCTGCAACAGCAGCCGCTGCCAGAGTCTGCCCYGGAGCCTGAGGCCAACCGACATGCCCTGGCTGGAGAGGCACCATCAGACTCCCTGCTCTGCAAAGCAAAAGCTGCATCCAAGAARTCTACAGGCAAAGGCCTCTGGACCACGTTGACTCCTGTGCCGGGCCTGCGACTCGCTTTGGGGCATGAGGTTGGCTCTGGGCGAACACATGCCAGGGACTATCCCACCAATTTGCTTGGGCAGTCAAGTGAGATGCAATTCCCCACACAAGGGTTGTAGCCAAATTTAATTTCCTGGCACAGTTGTAGCCACCGTGTCCTTGTGCTATGCAGATGAAGCGAGATCCTGCATTACGGGCTACTCGCCTTAATGTTTCATTCTTCCCTACTTGAAAACTTAAGATCAGCCTGTGAGAGAGTGCTGGGCATCTGCAGAACGCRCTTTGACTGAAGAATGGTTTTTGATGGAGGGGAGGTTACCTGCAGCGGGTTAGGTAGTGGCCTGTTCCTAGGGACCGCAAACGGCCTGTGATAACCACTGTCCTCTTCTGACACTGGCATCTTTAAAATGGAGCTGGTAAGGAGATTCTGAACAAATGAACAAGAAAAAAAAGAAAAAAAAAAGTTTTTTAACATCTCAACAAAACACAAAAAGAAACTGTATCTGAATGTCTTAGAAGCAGATCCAGCCCATCGTCTTACATCAGGCACTGTCACGAATGGAGCTGCCAGCCTGGGTTCACACCAGAGCCTGCAGGTCCCAGGCTTGACTTTGGAGGAGTTTTATCATGTGCAAGGGTTTCACCCTGTGACTCTCCTAAGCACACGAGTGACAGTAACAAAACTGAGCAGTYCCAGGGAAGCACAATGCCATCACGTGCATGCTGGAGCACCTTTGCACAAAATAACCTTTTATTTTTTATTTTTTAAACAGTTTTAGCTCTGTAACCTAGTCATTTTTATGCACAGATGCAGATGTCCTGTAAGTGCATTCTCTTCATGGRCTGCACAGCAGCCGTAGCTTCTACTAACTTCTATAGGCTGTGCAATGATCTAATTGAGAGAGAGGTATCTGCCTCTTATCTGCTGTGTATAGGAAAGCAGTGTGAAAATAGTGAATAATGCCTTCTAGTTAGGAAGGTTATACGTAAGCTATTCTCTCTGTTGCATTTAAGAACTGAACGGGATGTGAAACTGAAAAATCATTTGGTGGTGTGGAAGCTTGTACTTACTGGCACATCTTGCATAGTAGATGCATGTGTAAAGAGCTGAGTGTTCAGGTGTTCTCCTTCCCAGTGGTTTGAGCAAAAAAAAAGTCCAGCTTTATCTGTTGGAGACTCCACCTGAAAGCAAGAAAGGCACTGTGAAAAAGAAAAGCAGTATCTRACTGATCAAAAGGAGATTTGTCTGCCAAATTTTTAACAGGCTGAATAAATATTCTTCAAAGTTGTGCATAACACAGATTTACAGGGTAATCTTTTACAGCAACCTTGCTCTTTGCAGAAAAAAAATGTTCAAGGTTCTCAAAAGAACACCATCTAATAAAACTTTGAATACTTGCACTCAGCTCTCTGTCAGTATTCAAGAGTTTAATCCCCTAAAGGAGATGGAGAACGTATGTATTTTTGGAACTTTAGTGACAAAGTAATATAATGCAGTGTCCTCAAATCCTCAGGTTTCTATGTCACTCCATGTAGCTTGGTCCCTGTGGGGTTCTTCTATAGTTTTCACCAATATTAGAAGGACTCAATCCAAATTCCTGTCTAATTTCTTTCTCTTTTTAAGTTTCAAATGAAAACCGCATTAGAACAGTCCAAGCAAACCCCTGCTGAAAACAGCAGAAAGACTTCTATGGAAATCAATGGGGGCTGAATTAGGCATGCCTAGTACACTATACAGAACCGGCACTAAGATCTTGGGGCTCACATAAAAGAAAAACAGACATTGCTATTTAACAGAAAAGGTATTGCTATAAGTTTCATAGCAAAGAGCTCCGAATTAAATTGCCTCAGGTAAGTTTGCAATTTACCTCTTGTTTGATTTTCTTCAGCAAAGGGGGTCCACTTTCATGTAGCCCAGCCATGATTGCAGTCTCTTCAGATTCCTGCTTGATAACATCCTGCAGATCTTCTACAAGATGAGTCGGAGTTTGAGGCTGAAAGGAAGAAATGTTATAGATGAGTGCCAGAACATCCCTCCGCACTAATATCAAAGCAACTTTTATCATTGTTTCCTTCTTACCAGCATTTTCAAAGGACCATATTTGATTTCCTGAGCTGCAAGTGCGTTTTTGAATGGAGTGGGTGTTCTTGGAGAGCTCTCTAATATCGACCTCTTGATTGCCGGAGTTCTGAAACTTTAAAAAAAGGCAGAAAAACTTTAAAAGGATGCGTTTGGAAATAGCAGCCCACTGCAAAAATACGTGCATGAAGATAATGACTGCTCTAAGACTTTGATAAATGTTTTCCTGCAATCATATAATACATACACAAATTGACGTCTTGTTTTTACAGAAGAATATCTATTGCAATATTAGAAGGCAGAATGGCTTTATTCAAGAAACGGCAAGTCTATATGCACAATTACTCTTTATTAATTAGCTACCCTGGTAGTTATAAAATGGAAGCATTATTCTGCAGCAAGAAGAATCTGAGTGTACTAGCAAACAGCTCAGCAGGAAGCACACAGTCACCCAGCCTTTTGCTTTGGTTGTGTCCAAAACTGACAAAGCAAACCCTCATGAATCTGACAATACAATGCTGGAAGAGGCTTACAAATGATGATTTTCCTTCTGTGTCCGGAAAGGCTGGTCCCGGTGGAATGGTGTTGTAACAGCCATCTTATGGCCACACACTGGAGTGGAAGTTAAAGCGGGGTTGTCTAGGCTCAGGTTTTCATGATTGGTGGAGGTGTTTAAAAACTGTAAATAGGGAAAGAGAAAATCAGTTGGAACTTCCAGATGACTAGACTGATTTTTAAGTGCAATGAAAAAAAAAAGAAAAGAAAAGAAAAGAAAAGAAAAGAAAAAGAAAAGAAAGAAGAATAAATCACTTTCTTTTCGGTGACAACATAAGTGGTTTTCCTGAACCTACAGGTGGGTGCACAGGGGGTACCTGACTATGTGGAGGGAAAAAAAAATAAAACAAGTTCAATGAGCAGTTTCGTTTGGGCATTTAGGAAGCAAAATCTATCGTCTCTAGAATGGGAACTTATAAACAGGATGATACTCCATTCCAGTGAGAAAAATTCTGCAGCACTTAGAGAGCCAAATCTTAAAAGCCCAATGTGGGTTTTCTGCAAATAAATTACAACTAATATTAAGAGCAGTGTGCCTGCTGAGCACTGAGCGAAAATGAAGAAGGGATGTTTCAGGAATAAACCCACAGGAAATGGGCCTAAGTTCCATGAAAGTTATCACTAGAATCTAGGTACTTGAAATAAAGTGTTTATGACTGGAAAATAAATTTCCTATCATTGTGGTCCAAACAAAGTGTTCCATTTTTACAGAATAAGATGAAAACTATGGTCCTTGAGGGGTGTGTGAAGTGCTCTGCAATGGAAATCTCTGACTGCAAAGGAGGCAGTGGTATTGAGCGGGGGGAATTACTTTTGCAGGAATTCCACTTAGTAACCTAAAATATTGTTCCCACTTCTAATATMTATGAATCTGTTAGTGTAGTAGCTCTATCCTTTATTCTGATAAAGGGTTGCTGTAAGATCTATTATCTTCTGGACTTGCTTGTATCCCATTAAGGTGTTTTTTTCAATAGCATGACATATATGAAAATACAGATCTCATTGGATAAATAATATATGCCTAAGTGGAGATAGAGTGGGAGACCATTACATGCAATCTTTTAATAACCTTCAATGAAAAAGTGTTTTTCTGACTTTAAGATCAAAGCCAAACCAAAGACTAAACCAGCAAAAATACACAGGCAAACAAAAAAAAACCCCAACATGTTTAAATAGTGCTGCAGCTGTGAAACAAAGCAACAAACAATAAGAACTTCAATGGGCAGATCAGACAATTTTAACAGGCCAATTTTCTCTTCATTCCTCTTCCACCCCACCCCACATGGCTTGAGTTAAGGATGGGGAGCCACGATTTGAATTTGCTGGTTGTTGTTAGTTTGTCTCACAACCTGAATGCTATTTAAATACAGTTTGGGGTTTTCTAGGTCAATGAATCATACTGTGAGTGGACAGAGATGGAAAGTATTACAAATGATCAGAAATGTTAAACTCTAGTTAGCTGAAGGAGTTAACAGCAAGAACAAAGCAAGCAATCACATTCCCCTACAAATATGATCCAAATGAAAAAAAAACAAAAAACAAAAAAACCACACACATGAATTTGAAATAAGAGAATCAACAGTTAGCTTGCTGATCATCTAAACCCAGTGGTGAAGACTTAAGAGCAGTGAGAAGATTCAAACATGGAGTGAAATCAGCAAGCACAACGGCAATTAGTCATTTGTTCCAAGGGATTAGTTTCTAAATTGTTAACACTGYGGTGACTTTTGAGAATTAGTAACATCTGTGCAGAAGTCTTGGTCTACCTGCGAGGGAGAGAAGGGCAGGCTTTTGACAGGGGAGCGCTTAGGAGTTGAGCTGCTGTCGTCAGCTAGTACCAAGGCGCTACCGTGGCTCCTGGCTAAGGGGCTGCAGAGCCCTCTCCTTTTGCGAAGAAGGAGCCACGGAGCCGCGCTGCACTGCGAGGCGCATAAGGACTTGGGCGAGCCGGGAGGGCCCTGACTCGACACGATTTTGCTCAAGTATGTGATGGGGTGTCCGGGAGGTCTACAAGCACTGGCCCCTCTTTGCTGAAGCTGCGCGGCTCTGCCTGAGGGAGCTTTGCTAGCCGAAGTGTCTGTGTCTTCAAAGAATTCAAAACTGCTGAGATCACCCCGTGATGAAGGATCCTGAAACAACGTGGGAGGCACGGAGCTATAAGACAGTGTATAGTGCCACCTCATGAAAATACAGCGCTAAGATATGCTTGTAATCAACAATAAAAACAATATTTCCCAAATCAAGGCAGCTTGACCCTGTTTACTTGAGTAATACTATGAATGCTTATTTGCGTTTTTAATGTATACCCTCAGGGTACCGAGCTGTCCAACACCTCAGTGTTGCTGGCAACTCGGTTCCTGCAATGAGTCAAATGATGTCCTTACGACTTCACCAGTATTTGCTGCTCTGGGTGCAGACTGTGCCTTTCATTGCAGAAAAAGGGCCAGTGCTGGACTCTGAGCTAAGTCCGTTTCCTCTTAACCAGCACGACTGCTCAAGACCTGTCAAGTGGGATGTGGCACACGCTGTTGCTGCTCAAGTAGGATGCCACCACCAAAGGCATTTCAATGCGCTACTTATGTTACATACAGCGTTTGAGTGACCATAACAATAAAAAGGCCAGCAGTGATGCCAGTCAGTTGCTTGGTATTCATATACAGCATTTCCAGTTTTTTAGATTCAATAGGTGAGCTCCTTAAACTTTGAGAAGCAGCTATTGATGCCACATGGAAAACCTTTAGAAAACAACACAGATAAATCAACAGCCTCACATGAAACTAGAGCATAKGTCTCTTCTGATACAAACAAGCATCATCTAACTCTTTAAAATGTTTGTTGGTGTCTCTGATTTTATTCTAAGAAGACTTCATGTAGTAAGAAACTGTTTTAAACTCCTATTTTGCAGTATGCTAAAAATCCCACTTGCATACCGAGATGCAGCAAGGAAGGGAGAAACCCCCAAAGAGGACACGTATCTGCACTCAAGGGCTTCATTTATGAACAACCATGTGTGGCTATTTCACAAGGCAAGCTTCAGCTCTTGAAGCAATTAGAAGCTACTCAGAAAAAAAAAAGAAACAGCTTTAGGACGCTCCCAGCTCCTCTCCCCTCAGTCCTTGACCACACGCAAAGTCACCTGAGGTGACGGTTCTACTTACGGAGTCTATTAACTGGAGTGTTTCTGCAAATTCTAAGAGATTCTTAACATTGTCCAGGATGTTGCTCTGGTGGACAATCATGCACCTCGCGGGGGATGCACTTTCCTCAGGTAAGCAACCATGGTCCACCGGTGGGGAGGGAGTGCAGTGGTGATGTTCCCCCAAACAGGAAACAGGCGCACTGTCACCACTCGTCCTGGCACCGTCAGCGATTGCGGTGCTGTGCCAGCCTGTGTAGTTTGATGTGTGGTTCTGTGTCTAAAGGAAGAAGAAGAAGAAGAGAAAAAGAGGGGGGAAAAGGCAAAAGGAACTTAGCAATGAAATTGCACAAGGTGTCAGATGCCTCTGGAGGAAAGATAAAAGCAGTTGCATCACCATCTAAAAACTTATGCCCAAGAAATAATTGTCAAGATGTTTCCTTTCATCAGCACAAGATCTCATTTTAAGTAATAGCRGCACTGTATTTGTTATCCCAGAGTTACCTCAGTATTGATTTCCAGGATTATAAGCATATATCATCATTAATATACAAGTAAGTCATACTGCATTACTCCAAAAAGCTCAAAGTGACTGTAAGTCATTTTCTGTGAGAAGCAAGAAATGGCAGGAGTTCCCTACTGAGCGCTCAGCACTGTAACAGGCTACAGAGTTTAAGAGTTAGAGTTGCTTTTGTTTGCTTATCTCCTTTTCTTCTTCTGTCCCTGTCTAATGCTACAGCTTACACCAATGCAATGAAGAGGCTGTCAAATCAACACGGTTAGGAAAGCAGAAGAACAAATTAACAGAAGTTTCTTTCCAGTGTGATCATGCAACAGAAGAAATTGCAAAACATTAACTAAAGTTAAAAAAGTGGCCAAACTAACGTATCATGCATGCAGTTGTTTTACTATTAATTTAAATATTACCCAAAAAAAAAAAAAGAATCTGCTGGCTATCACCTATCTTCTAAGATGATTTGGGCATCCTTGGTTTTGGTGATAGTGGTAAGTAATTACATCAGGGTTTTCACATTTTAACATCCAATGGCTTGTACAGCAAAGCATAAGAATACAGTAATAGCCAGCATTTGTTTCACACATGCAGTTATGAAGGATCTAACATTATTCAGATAAGTAAAACAAACTGTCAATCATGCACCAAGTCTGAAGCTTACGAAGTGTGTAATACACAGCTGAAGAAAAGAATACAACAGAGAAGAAAAATCGGATGTACAGGCACTATATGAACCTTTCATCATATGAACCATTGCACACTTTCAGAAATGCAGATCCTGCTGATTTAAGATCCGTGGGATTTTTCATTTTAGGATTATCAKCAAATTTACGTAACATGACAGAGCCCAGCCCTGCTCCCACTTTTCAAAAGCAAAATAACTGCAATTTCTTTTATAAAAGAATTCACAAAAGCAAATGCGGACAATATATGTGCTATGTTTCATGCTTTTAAAACGGAAATATAGGGCCTTGATTAGTACYAAAGGCAAAGGGGGAATAAAAAGTTAGAAAGACAAGCACTGGGGTAATGCTGCTATCCCTCCATCCAAGCACACAGTGACAGTCTTACTGGTAATGCCTGCTGCCCTTTCAGTTCATTCTCAGTCGACATTAGTAGCAACTCTAATTCCTTTATTCGTTTTTCTTTCTCAGGGTCTTCATCATTATAGTGTCTCTGAAATTAAGAGTTAAGGGAAAAGAAAAGATAAAGGTCTGATAGGATGTAGCAACTAAAATGCTTATGGCTTGCCGTCCTGTGGTTTTAATAGCCAAATTAGAYTCCAAGATGAAACAAACATCAACTGGGCTTTCCACTATCAAAGTCCCTGCTGAATTTCAGTAAAAACATTTGAAATGAAGAAAGTGAAAGCTAGCACACCAGATGTCAACTATTGTGTCTTAAATTCACTTCAGAAGAAGCAATCATTAGCCATACCAGAACTCCCCCTCCTTCCCCATTTTCGCTCTTCATACTTATTACGTTAAAATCCTCAATGCAAAATCTCCACATTTTAACTTGCATATCAAACATTTAACAAATTGGATCTTGAAAAGAGGTTCAAATTATCTACCTGAATAGCTGCAGCAGCTGGCTGAGGAACATTGAGAATATTTACATGCAGTGCTACCGGATACGGGATCTGACCAGGGACCTAGGCCAAAAAGCAAAAGACACTAAAAGTTACTATTTCTATCACATTAACTGATCTGCATTGTGAATTTGCATTAAAGATATATTTGGGTTTAGGTTCGTAACATTTATCATCTACAGAGACGAAAGAGCAAGAAAAAGCAAAAAAAAAATAAATGTTTAAAAGAAAAAAGGAAGAAAGAAAATTCATATATGAAGTATCTACCCTTCCTGAACGAGAAAAGATGAATAATTTATAGATGCATTTGTACAATTTTCTACATTGAAAATACTAAAGATGCATTTGATTATAATCTAAAACTCTATAATGTAGCTGATCAGCCTATTTCATTATTAATCATTAATAGAAAAGATTAAAAACAATACTTGTTTACTTAGTTCTGACAGGTCATCYGCAAACAGGTTACTAAAGCAGATTCACCCAGATTCAACTGATTTTCAACATGGATAAAATTAACCGCTGTAAGAAATGGTACTCAGTGCCTTGTGTTAAAAGCACTGCATCCCGTTTCATCCCTGCAATGCCAGTAACCAACTTGAAATGCACACATATTTATGCCTGTTTTGGCCAACGAAGACCTCGCCTAACATCGAGGACCTACGAATCCTGCTGAGTAGCGACCCAAAGGGCTTACTAACCTTTTCAACCATGCACCCAAGCTGGCAAAAAAGACCATCCACCCGCTCCCCCAAGCCAAGCGGGTGAAAGCTCTTGCAGGAGCTTACATTTTGTGGCTCCGGAAGGTGGTAATAGGAATAGTCATTGCCCAGCGGGGGCTGGCCAGCTACTGGGAGCTGGGCAGAAGGTGCTCCGTGGGCAAAGCCCATCAAGTGAGCGCTCTTCTGGTAGCCGACGGCCGCYGACGCCAGGCTGCCTTTGGAGGACTCCTGCAGATACCCCTCCTGCTCGACCTTGCGGCGCATGGTAGAATTCCAGTGGTTCTTGATGGCGTTATCGGTTCTGCAACGGGATAATGCACGTATTTGAAGAGCTTTACAAAATAAAATGTACATTCAAGCTGAAATCAAGYGACAGGGAACTTTTGTGAGTGTTTCTGATCAAAACCTAGTGCTTTCCTCTGTCTGCCTGCCCCTCTACCTTTGAAAATATGACTTCTCAAGAAAAATGCTTACTATAAACAATAGGGGAAAAAAATGGGTGGGCTGCTGTTATTTAAAACCTTTTTGGAGCAACCTCGACCCCTTGTCTCAAGTTTGCAGAGTGCAAGAAATTAAGAACTTTGGCTTCACCGCATTCTCATAGGACAAGGTGACAGTGAGGACTAAGTCTCTCCTTGAGACAACCCTAAGGACTGACTACATTGCATTTGTAACTCTTAATAGTTCAGTGGAACTTTATTGGTATCTCCTTGCTTGAAAGAAAGAAAACAGCTGTGAAGAAAGTCTTCCAGACAACTTGCCAGTGGGCCACCTAAACAGTGATACCATCGCGCTATACACACGCATGTATATATTCATTCAGTGAACAAAACTGGTATGTTTTTTCTCAGCTGTAGAAAAACTGCAAAACAAATTCTCAAATATATGAGTCAGAAAAAGCTTATAAAAACTTGCTATCAAGTTTGTGAGATTTTAAGAGCACTCTTAGAAGTAACTCCTCTATTAGAAAAACCTCACCATCACACAATACTGTTGAAAGAAATATCTGTGATATGTGGAAGCTACAGAAAACCTTCCCAAGCAGCAGTCCATTTCTTGTTTTCTTCTACAAAGAAACTTATTTCTTTGGAATTCTAAGGAATGCCCACTTAGAAACATATCGCAGTCTTAGGCACTGCATTCAGTATTTCACCAAACAACAAGAATAAAACTGAGAAGGGAAAAAAAATGTTTGTTTATATTATGCGCTCAATTACATTTTATGTTGAGTCACTTTTACTGCAAACTGAATAGAGACACCGAATCTCTAAATTCATATGCAAGCCGTAAACTTTGAATGAGACAAAGGATTGCAACTAGAGGAAGTTAACCTCTTCTATTTTATATATCGGTTTTTACAGGTCAAAATTGTCTGACTGGCTCGGGAGCAATTACAAATGCTGAGGCAGCCTTCTTGTTAAAACACTCTGAATAAACAGACTATGTTGAAGGCATACCCTTAATTGAATGCAAATTATGTTCCACCTGTAGAGCCTGATCCTTCACTGTTCAATGAATTTAAATGTAGTCTGTTATTTCAAGCACAAGTAAGTTTACACATATATTTAGGAAAATGTTACGGTCTTGATCTAGTTATTGATTTTTTTACCTACAACAAACATTAAAAGCATGTATAAACAGCATATTATTCCACATACTGACCAAACAGAACAGTTCCCCACTAGGAAAAATGCACACTGATGTCATCAGCTTTCCAGGATGTGAGCCCCAAATTTTTGATTCACACTGTGCAGCCCCAGGCAACTGAAACAGAGTGCTCAGGCCTGTAGCTTTTTCCTTCTTTCCTATTTAAGAGCTAAAGGTATATGTCATTACCGTCCAGGCAGCAACTTTGCAATTTCTGCCCATCTGTTTCCCAGTCTCTTGTGTGCCTGGTAAATAATTCTATCTTCCTCTTCTGTCCAGGAGGTTTTCTTCACTTCTGGATTCAAATGGTTGTGCCACCTCTCCCTGCACTGTTTTCCAATCCTTCCCTTCAAATGCTTAGCAATGACAGACCAGCGCTTTGGACCGTATTTCTGCACGAGTTCTATTACCTTCAAAGAAGGACATAAAAACTGCCTGTATTTAACGATGCATAATGAATCAATGCAATTTTTCTATAGTGGAGCAATATTTTCAAAGACATTTCTCAAAATTGCCACTGCAAAGCTAATACACAGTTAAAGCTTCCCATGCCCCCTTTATATTTTTACCCAAAAGGAAAAGTCTGGTCATAATAAAGACAATCCAGACTGCATTTCTACAACATAGAACACTGCGATCAGGGTTGGAAATCAACATGAATTAATTTGTGTAGAATGCTTAGAAAACCACATACATATATTAAGCATTGATATTACAGGATCAGTCCTGTCTCAGGCCATATCAGTGTCGACATCATGGAAATTTCCAGTAGTTTTCTCCCGATACATTAAATCCACTTTTAAGGTATTAATCAGATGGAATGGAAAACTGCTCACCCTTTGATCCTCCTCTTTAGTCCATGGGCCTTTGATAAGTTCTGGGTTTAATACCTTCTGCCATCGGTGCTGGCACTGAACATCTGTCCGATTCTAATGAAACGCGAGATATGCAAAGTAAATAATTCTTTAAAAAGATGAACATCGAACGATATTGCTCTTATCAAGGTACACTTACTTCACTAAATCTCACCGCCAATTACTGTTATTAAATTACATGGCAGTGATACAGTGGGTCTGAATAGGAGGTGCCCAACTACCAAGTTGCTCACTGAGCTAGACAAATTCCTACATTTCTGCAGTTTCTGCAGTTATGACTGTAGCACTAAAACTACAAAAATTCCTCCACCATCTGGCATAATAGCTGTCCTTTTTAAAAAGAGCTTTAAGAGCTTTCACGTGCAGTATTTCTACGAGAGCTGAAGAACTCAAAAAAAAAATTTTTTGAACTGCACTTGCAGTTCAGCAAAGCTMTTTTTCCTCTGCGCCAAGACATTTTGTTTCAGTATCGTATCTACCGCATCTACTGCCAACACTCCTGCACCCTCTGTTCTTTGCTTGTTTGATRTTTTCCAACCCTTCCTGAGAAGTGAAAGGAAAATTAAGGTAAGGGCTTCCAGAGTGCGCTAACTAAATGAACTGCTGAGCTCTCAACCTATGGAGGTTTTATATCTTCTTCGAAAACTGAACTATGAAACAGCCACTCCCCTTTCCTTTCCTTGGAACCCTCTGATAAAGAGTTGTCACTAGAACTGGAAACAGAAACCAAGATCCACTTACAGGAAGAAAATTGGCAATGACTTTCCAGTCTTCGGTGCCATTCTGCTCCACAAGCTTCTTCAGCTTCTCATCCTGAATCATTAAGAGAAGCAAACAGAAACGATAATGCACCCCCAAAATCCCCAAATTTATACTAGTATCTTTGTATGCATTTGCTTCTTTGTGTGATCATATCCTGATATTAAGGAAGGGAATCTGTATTCTTCTTTTGTTTTTAATTGACTAAACCAGGAGGGTTTTTTCCCTTACCGGTGGATTTGGCAAGTTCTTTAAAGGTGCTGCAGGAGAAAGCCCGACTTTTAGGGCTTCTGTGTGACTCAACTGATCCATTCCCATTTTACTGCTCAGAGCAATGAGTGTTGTTCTTGAATGGGACTTACAGGAGTGCATGGATGTTTAGTTGTCAGGCACGTGAGTAACAGGGGAATTCAATAAAYACTCAGGCACCCAGCTGTCTTTGGACCACTAAAAATCACAGTCTGGAACTTCAAATGTCTTGAAAGCATTGGAAGTCCCAATAATTTGCTCATCCCCTGTCAGGGTGCAGTGAAAGCCCCATTTCAGTAACAGCCCCTTTTTGCTGCTGATCATTGCGAGCGGGCTCTGCATGTTCTCTTATGATTAAATTAAAAAAAAAAAAAAAAAAGACCTTACAAGAGGTGACCTGTCGCTATTTATATGTCAATAGAACTTGGTAGAGGAAAGAAAGTCAAAACATAATTTAGTAATTGTATTAATATACTTCACAATAAACTTAAAGCAATTAAACGGTCATAGGATATCTACGTGGCAGAAGACCTGATATCAGAATTCATCTGAAAAGTCAACACAAGGGTACTAAAATATATTCTGACCTTAAAAAGTTAAATAAATCTTGAATGTCCAATTTTGGTAGATTTGTTAAGATTCCTTCTTCTAGCTTTTACTTTTTTTTCCATTCAGAATCATAATGCTGCAATGAAAGTGCCCGTTGCGAATGGCACCARGGGGCTGCAGCAGTTTCTGCCACAGTTGTTTGCTGCTGTGGGACACCGAGCACACGTCAGCTCTCACATAGCAACCATTTTCAAACAAAAAGAGGCAGCACTAACAACCAAACACTGCTGCTGGTGACTCTTAATCTGTGTCTCCAACTGGGATAACAGAGAGACTCGAGTATCTGATAGGTAGACCTTGCTGGACGTAAAACCTGCTGTTTATGCACTTCATCTAAAAGACATGAATGGTCCTCAAAGTTAAGTAAAACACTGAATATAGCTAATGGGTCAAAATCATTGTCCTTATTCATATGATGGGATTGTGGATGAAGCCATTGGGTAGATAGAAATTTGGACCATGCTTGGTCTTTCCACATRCACTAGAGAAGGAGATGAATTAACTCATATTTACCTCTTCACGGGTCCACCTGGTTTTTCCCAAATGGCGTTTTCCAGCTTTAGGGAGCAGACCATCATAATCATGATCATACAYCTCAACATCTTCTTCATCATCATCACTGCTGTATATGCTGCAGAAGGAAACACAACGAGACATGGAGTGGAACATGAGGACTCGAGCTACTTAACTGCAAAGCAGACAAAAAACACTACAATCTTTCCAAAGGTTACACAGATAAAAGTTTTAAAACTTGCACAACAAGATTTTGTTCTGCATTCTGTTGTTCTAGTATTCTGAACTGGTTCTGCTGTTTTTGGTATCCACAGATACAAGCAAAGGGCTGGCAACCTTCTTATTACTCTGCATGTTTAGACCTGCTCATGCTGTTAGATCAGCAGTGAATTACACTTTTGGCAAGCTTTCAACCAATGAAGGTTTCAAATTAAAATACAATGTTTGGGACAATGAAGAGAACAAGAGGCTGGGTCCACTCCACAAATGCACRCTCCAAATCTTTAATTCATGCCATACACTTTGAAAACTACTCRCTTTGTGCATTTAGTAGAACAAATAGCTCCCAAATGAGACGGACTGTGTATAAATGAAAAAAAAAGCTTGCCAATGACAGCCTTAGTAGAGACTATTTTTATGATACTGATATGTACAGGCAGAAGTTTCTATAATTGACTTAAGTAAAGCCAGTAAATGGTAGCATTAACATGCAATAAACTCTAACATGAAACGTGCCTGCCATTCATAGAAAGGGTTGAGGACAAGTATATTTAATCACCTGCAACTAACAAATAAATGATTGAACCATTTTACACAACATATTTTCCTAGCTTATGACTTTATTACCTCTTTATTTACCTCCACTCCATTTCTGAATACCTCATAGTGTTTTTGAAATACTCTGCTACTCAATACATGACTAAGGGATTTCCCCGGAGGCAAAAATGGGCAAAAAAAGAGATCTATTATTGTTTCTCACAGGCAGCACTTGCTTTATCGAGTTAGCTAAAATTAAAACTGTRTGTTCTGCACCAGGAGATGTCTTTCTGGTGGCTAATATTTTATTTTCAACCTTAAGATATAAACAGAAGTTTTGGAACTTTAGCTAAGGGATAATAACCACAGTTATTATCTGTGGGCAATGTCACAGTGTGAGACTAATAACTGTGATATATCTGAAGTGCTGAAGTATGAGTAAAACATTCAGATGAAAAGGGTTTTTTTTTTTTTTCTTGGTAATAAAGCAAGCAACCTGAATAGTTACTTATTAGATACTGTTTTTCCTGTGAACCTAGTTTCAGGGAATCGCTTTTTAAGCSAAGCATACAGACTATTAGGCAAGATGCAAACACCTCCCAAATGCAAGYAGTTGAACACATATTATTTTAAAGCACAGTAGGCTGAACCTCCAAGTCTTTTTTTTTCTGGCCTGTGGCATGTGCCATGAAAAAATATACTGGAGGTAAGAAGTTCTGCAGAACTCTGCAATGAGGTGCACGGTCTCCTCCAAGCCACTGGTGGGTGGCCCATCTCCTCCATCCGCAACTTTCCAGCACAATGTCTCATTCCTAGGACTTGCCAGGTCCCACAAGTCTCTCCCTGTGCCCACTCCCCTCAACTTGTGCCCCAGTGAGTCATTCTAAGCAGGGTCCTGTTGGCCACCGTGGTCCCCAGACTTGAATGGCGCTAGTGGTTGGAGCAAAGCTCCTGGTCTTCTCCTGGCATGGGCTCCATCCCCTGCTGCTGTTCGAGGTAGAGGCACTTCTCTAAGTGACACCCGGAGCCAGCTGCGTGACTGCCCTATATCAAAGTTTAGTGGCTTGGTCTCCAAGTATCATTCTGAAAACTGATTTTGCCGATAGTAAAAGCACCAGGTAACGCATCCAACGGAATGACACTTCCTGTGCCGTRAAATGCTGCAGGCACATCAAAGAAGCGCCGCACTGATGCAGGAGGAGAACGTTAGCATCGAAAAGGTTAAAAGCATTTAAATGTGATGCCAGTAATGTAAATGATTTATTTAAACAGCCCAGGCCTTGTTGTTGCACTGCACAGCTATGAGTAAGTCCCCGTGTATTACCCGGGCTCTCCAGCAGGAGAAAGGGGCCTCGGGATTTTAGGACGGCCGCTCGGGAGCTCCCTCTGGGCTCTGCTCTCAACTTTATTCCCCCTCCGTCCGCGGTCCCTYGTGTCGCCAGCGCAGCAGAGCCCGGCGGGCGCCGCGACGCCCGCGAGACCCGCCAGCCACGCGCCGCCTTTTGCCGGGACAGCCGAGTCGGGCAGAGGCACCGGGGGCGTGTGTGTGTGCCGGGGGGAGGATAAAAATAAATAAATAAATAAATAAAATAAGGAAATAGAAGAAAAAGAGGGCGGCGGGAGGAAACAACTCGCCGGTGATGCCGTGCCTGGAGGAACTGGTGCACGGCGGCGCCGGTCCCGCTCCGCGCCCAGCGGTGCCGCCGGCTGCGATGCGCGCTGCGGAGCGGTGCGGAGCGG